CCAGTGTCTCCAGTGCCGCGGCCCATCTGTGTGAACCCAGCGACACGCTGGCCAGGCAGTCACCGTGAAACACGTAGCTGTGTTACTGTGAGGAGCAGGGTATCAGTGCTCCTTAGCAAATGTCAGGTTTCTGAAATCTGCACCAGGCCAGGTGCACTTGATGTGAGAAGTGACACCGAAGTGTATGCATTGAGCTGAATTGTTTCAGTGCCAAGTGATGGCAGAGAAGTTCTGAGACCTTGTGACTGTCACTACAAGAACGGTATGAAGTGTCAGGTCCTGAGGGGCTTCTGTGTTACACCACGTGAAGTTTCTCTGAGGACTGTGATGATATAAATCTGTCTTTCTAGCCAGACATTACTGTGCATTATACCTGCCAAATGATTTTAAATACGAAAGAATATAAAATGTATTTATCGTAACATTTCTATTATCCAGAGGCCAATACAAGGAAACCTCTAAAATACAATTAGATACCCTCTCACTGAAAACATATCTCAAAAAGAGTGGGCTGTGAAGATTTAAAAGTTGGGGGGTTTTCTTTCAAGTTAATTCATTAGTAATTTCTGTGGACTCTGTGTGGTAGATATAACTCTTTTTGTTTAGATGTGAGTTTACAAATGTACTTTGTCTTTATGTGTCTGTGAGGGTATACGTGCATATTCGAATTCAGATTCAAGTAGTAAGTTAAAAGTAAGGTTGGGTTTTGTTGGGGGTTTTTCGTGAAAGATGCCAAATAATATAAACCCTTTATTTTGTGAGAGCTTTTCTCAGGCTCAGGTTTTCAGGGAGCACGGGTGGGCCAGGAGAAAGGGACTTGTTCTCTGGGTAAAGTTGTATAATTTCTGGAAAATAATTCTAAGCAAACATCTGATGACTTGTTTTTGGTCTCAACCAGGAGGAGGACTAATTGGGAGAAAGGGCTCCATAGGTGCACTGGGAAGGACTGATACAATGATGTGTGCAGTGTATGGCTGGACTGAAGAGATGGCCTTCTCTGGAACTTCCACGGGGGATGTGTGTATTTGGAGAGATGTGTTTCTCTTAAAAACTGTCAAAGCACATGATGGTCCTGTGTTCAGCATGCACGCATTGGAAAAAGTAAATAAACTGCTCACTGTTTTGTTTTTTTAATGTCTGGACAAAAGAAAAAGTCTATGATAAAGCTAGGCCTTCCCAAACTCAAGAATCCATGTCCTTATTTCCCTTATAGAAAAGCCTTGGGGGGTCCAGATTCAAAGAGTGTTTTATGCATGTTTCTTATTCTTGTTATGTAGCATGCTGTTTCTCAAACCCTTGTGGTCCAGTGACATCTGATCCAGTAATTTTTATAACCTCCTACTAATGAAATAACAGTAACTGATTTAAGCATCCAAAAGTTTAATGAGATATGTGAGCCTGGGAGAGAGGAAGAAGATTATATTCTACAATTTTGTGCTGTAATTACTGTCTGCCCATAGGAGTGTTCAGTCCGTAGGTCATTAAGTACTTTCTCCTGATTGTCAGCTTCATTGAGCTAAGGAAAGCCTTTAAGCATGTGCTTAAATGTGAATGGGTGTTCCAGTTAGATTACTTGTATGTTTGGAGTCAGCTATAGATGTGTGTTTTGCTAGGTTAGACCAAGTCATTCCACCTTCCAATATTGGAGTTTCAATATAGTAGCACTGAACAATGCTTGTGTTATTCATGCTGCAAGAACTAAGTGCTCCAAAGGAAAGGACTCATGATTTGAGCATTATGTATACCTATTGCTTCATTAAATACCTGTAAATAATTGTTAAAGACAGAAGGGCACAAATATGCATATATTTGAAAAATGTAAGCACTAATCAAATTTTTGTGAGTGGTACTAAGCTTGGGTTGGAGCAATGAGATGAAATGCCAAAGGGATGGGGAGGCTAAATATCAAGAAAAACACTGCAGTATGTTGGTTAAATTCTTTTTGTAGAGTGGTAGTAGCATATAGGTTAGAACTGCTAAATCCAGGCTGTGTACATGGACTGCACAGGGCTGTGCTGCCTTCATCAGGAGGAGAATCGATCATTTTGTTGCTCCTGTTCTTTTTATCTCTAACATCTGTAGCTCTGTGCATTACAGTGTTGTATTTGGTCCATTTTCAGTATTGGCAGAAATCACTGAAAAATTAAGGAAAGATGATAATTGATTATAATTTGTGATTTATTTTTTTTAATCTTTTTTATCCCCCAGGGATTTGTCACTGGAGGAAAGGATGGGGTAGTAGCTCTCTGGGACGATAGCTTTGAACGATGTCTCAAAACCTATGCCATCAAAAGGGCTGCTTTGGCTCCTGGGTCTAAAGGTAGCACAGACTTTATCCTCTGTTTTATTCTATTTAAAGTACTTTATTTAGAAAACATTGTGGAACTGCTTTCCCCAGTAGGAGGAAGTCCACACTTGACATAATGAATACTAAAATCACTTTTTTAAGCTTTACTGATTCCAAATAAGTAATTTTTCTGTTGGGATGGGAATGGTATGTTGTAGTGTAGGTAGGTTGCACATTTGGTGGGTGCAGATCATATTTACCTTATTGTCAGCCTAAACTAATTGATTTAGCTTTGAGTTTCTTAACCCAAGTGATTTCTATTTTTTTATTTATTAAAGTGGCAACCAAAAAGCCTATTATATTTCTGGTCATGGAGCCTCTTATGTGATTTTTTTTTTTTTGTTTTGGAGAAGGGAAGGAATTCAGTTAGTTTTGTATGGTATTAGTACTTACTTTTCTGTCAATACATCTGACTATATCTTTTGAAATAATGAACATTTTAATTCCTATTTTCCTATTTCGACAATTTATTCTTGATCTTAGTGCTAGTGTACAGTTTCCCCTATTTGACATTCTGAATAGCCTTTTCTCTTCTGTCCCCCTGACACATTGGTGTCAGTTGAATAATTGCTAAATGCTCTCAAATGAATACAGGCACGTCAGTTCTTCAGTGCAGGAATATGTTTTTACTGTTTAATACTGAGTATCTTTTTCTACAGTGAGAATGTAGGTGTGCATATGTGTGAAAAATCTTCTTTGAGGCATGCTTGAGAATGTCCTGTCTTCTAACATGTTAACATTCTAGGTCTCCTCTTAGAAGATAATCCTTCTATACGTGCCATATCATTAGGACATGGTCATATTTTAGTGGGCACAAAGAATGGTGAAATATTGGAGGTGGATAAAAGTGGACCAATAACTCTGCTGGTTCAGGTACATGTTAAATTTTATCAGTCAAATATTTTATACCACAAATATGATTTTATTTTTCAAGACTTGTGAAATAACAAACATTTTAATTACTAATGAAGTTAGTGAGTTACTATCATTTCTAGTTAATCTAGACCATTATGACTAATGAGCAAAATACATTGCAGAATTTCATGTACTGCTTTGTTCAGCAAGTTCATGCTTGCAAACAGGCCAGGATCATATTTCTGTTTAAAAAAGAAAGAAAAAAGTGTGTGGAACAGTGGATCCTCCACCAAGTTCCTTATTAACTTTTTCTGAGTAGTAAGAGTAATCTTATTATTTTTTAAAAGTTGACTCATTAAGGTTTGTTTTTAGATTTTATTTGTAGTTATGTAAAAAAGTGTGTTGTCTTTGCCATACTAAGTGACTGCATTTCTTAAGCCTGACTACAAAACAGATTTTTACGTCATGCTTAAATAAAAATCTCTGCAATTTTAGTTCTCAATTCTGAGTGGCCAGTGCAATAGATAAAGAACTAGATTTGTTAAATGAATAGATTAGAACCTAAGGTAAAGAAAAAATCTAGTTCACAGAATAGTTTGGGTTGGAAGGGACCTTTAAAGGTCATCTAGTCTAAACCCTTTGGAGTAAGCAAGGACATCTTCAAATAGATCAGATTGGTCAGAGCCCATCCAATCTGACCTTGGATGTTTCCAGGGATGGGGGCGTCTGCTACCTCTTTGTTTCACCACTCTCATCACAAAAATTTGATTCCTTATATTTAGTCTGACTCTGCCCTCTTTTAGCTTAAAACCATTAGCCCTTGTCCTCTCACTGCAAGTCCTACTGAAAGGTGTCCCAATCATTCTCCTAAGACCCCTTTAAGTACTGAAAGGCTGCAATAAGATCTCCCTGGAGTATTCTCTTCTCCAGACTGAACAACCCCAACTCTCAGCCTTTCCTCATAGGAGAGGTGTTCCAGCGCCTTGACTATTTCTGTGGTGCTCCTCTGGGTCCACACCAACAGGTCTATGTCTTTCCCATGCTGAGGACTCCAGAGCTAGACGCAGTACTGGAGTTTCACCAATGTGGAGAGGCAGAATGTGCTCCCTTGACCTGCTGGTCACATTTCTTTTGATGCAGCCCAGGATATGGTTGGCTTTCTGGGCTGCACATGCACATTGCCAGCTCCTGTCCAGCTTCTTGTCCACCAAAACCCCCAAGTCCTTCTCCTCAGAGATGCTCTCAATCTATTCTCTGCTCAGCCTGTATTTGTGCTTGGGATTGCCCTGACCCATGTGCAGAGCCTAGCACTTGGCCTTGTTGGGCTTCACTGCATGGGTCCACCTCTCAAGCCTGTCAAGTCCCTCTGGATGACATCCTTTCCCTCCAGCATGTTGTCTGCACCATACAGCTTGGTGTCATCTGCAAACTTGCTGAGGGTGCACTCAGTCTTACTGTCCACATCATTGACATAGATGTATGTGGGGTTTATTTCTCAGGAAAAGTTTTCTGTACTACTAATTAGTGTAATTTCCACTGTAACTGCAAGTGACTGTGAATTTTGTCCAGGATATGAATGTTCTCTGTCTTTTAAAAACTTCCTTAAATGTATTATTTAATATTTTAATTTAAAATAAAAGGTAATCTGATTCATTGTGTTTTTTCAGGGTCACATGGAGGGGGAAGTTTGGGGTCTAGCTACTCATCCTCATTTACCTATTTGTGCCACTGTAAGTGATGACAAAACCTTAAGAATATGGGATTTATCTCCTAGCCATTGTATGTTAGCTGTTCGCAAATTGAAAAAGGGTAAGATGCTTAGTATGGAAAAAAATCTTTAACTGATTTAGTTGACCTTTACAAGCATTATGAATCTTTTGAAAGCAGGATTGAATAAATTCCTTCCTTCCTTTGCTCGAATTATTTTGTTAATGCTATGTTCACAAGTTATGTAGCCCTTAAGCTAATGAATCTGTACAAAAAATTTCTGTGTAATATTGTTCTGAAGATTATTTGCCATCATAGCATATTTAAGTCAGTGAATTTATGATAAAAGTGCAGCCAATTCCATAAATGCCATGTTGCTTATAGTAGTGGAAGGTTTATTGAACAGTGGAGGACTTTGGATCTAGAAATTTTTGGAAGAAATCTCAGAAATCATGTTGAATTTATCTTCTTGGTGAATGTTAGAAGAATCTGGAATGTCAGGGAAAGAACAGTCATAAGATTTTTACTCAAAGTTTATTACTAAATTCTATTTTCAAAGATGGAAAATCTTTTGTAAGCGACATCATATAAGGAGACTTTGTTTAGGGTTAGGCCAGACTGACCTTAACGAGCTTATAGTGATGCTTTGCTAGACAAAGGAATACAATAGGCTTTATCTGTTTGGCATTCAGCAATGCAGTTGGGTTCAAACACAATAGACAGCTTAGCTGAAGATGATTTAGATTGATAAAGTAAATGAAAGAAGAGTCAGGAGCTCACACAAGCAGGATTAAGGAAGTTAAAAGTTGGCAAACTCTGCTCAAGCTTTAAGCTTATATTTCTTAATATTTTTAAGGGTACTTTTGGCAAAAAAAAAGTCTGTGATGACTTTATTTGCTGAAGAAGCAGATTTTGGGATGCTTTGGCAGTCTTAAAAAAGTACCTGTGTACTGTACAGAGAGAGATGCATACTTCTGCAGACTGCTGTAATGGAGTTGAAATAGTATTTGGTAATTAAAAAGACAAGATTCAATGAGTGTAAGCAAAATGTCTGTGTAGTTCAGGAGTAACTAATGAGCAGAAGGCTCAGGATGTTGTAGCTGATTGCAGGATGACAATTGCATGTGATAATGAGGTATTTTTCCCAAGACATATTCCCCTAATTTACAAGACGTCACTCAGGTTATTTTTGGTGTACATTTCTGATCTGTGTTCAGCTGAATGAAATTAGAAAAGCTGAGTATGGGAAAGGAACTACAGGATAATGAGTGAGCAGCTTTGTGGTGGAGCCATCTGAATGGAAGGATTTCTATCTACATGTTGATTGGGGAGCAAATAGTGAAAATATTTATGCTAATGGGAGATTCTGGCATGAAAACAAGTCTAGCTAGCCATCTATAAATTTAGACTGGAAATTAAACTTCTTTTCAAATGACACTTGGCATGTTTATTGGAAGGATTCTATGACCCAATGCCTAATTGACTGTGATAGCAAATGACTGGATTCTGTGAGTCCAGAAGGTCTTTTCCAGGTTTGTTCTCTTTACCAAAGCAAATGATAGCAAACAACCAGCATCAGATACTGAGAAGGAGAGCAAACTAAATATACACAGACAATAGTGATGAATCTGTATTGCTGATGTAGAACATATGTGATGCAAGTAAATGTACTCTAAGATTCCAGGCCTCTGTACCTGGTGATTTGACAATAGCTTCTGTGTGCTTTCACAGCTTGGAAATTGTCTTGGTAGCATCTAGAAAACTTCCTTGGAAGTTTAATAGTATAGGAATAGCTTTCCTTTACTAATGGAAAAACAGATCCAAAAGAAGGATAATGTACTGTAAAGGTATTTGAATACCATTTCTGTATTCCTCACAGGAGGCAGATGTTGCTGCTTTTCTCCTGATGGAAAAGCATTAGCCGTTGGTCTCAACGATGGGAGTTTTTTGATCGTTAATGCAGATACCCTGGAGGACCTTGTCTCTTTCCAGCACAGGAAAGATGTTATTTCAGAGATTCGATTTTCTCCTGGTAAGCGATATTTAAAAAAAAATATATCAATCTCTATATCAAAGTTGCTTAAGCAAGTTTCATCACCTTTGGAAGATAAAAGGAGTAGAGATTTGTAGTGCTCTTTTGCATGTAAGAAATAGGTCAGCAAAACTAATACTAACGTTTTGAAAAGCACTGGGGTGAAGTCCTGTGTTGCTCATTGGAGGAGGAGATTATTGGAATATATTTTCTTATTGTAACTTCCTGAATGCAATAGTCAGTTCTAAATTGCAAACATCCATCCTTAGGTCCCTAGGGTTACACTTTGAGCTGCATAAGTTTGGCTCTTCACTGAGCTTACTGTTAACTAATGAGAATGCTTGAAACTCACATGTCACAAAGTTCTGTTTTCTTATTTTTCCCCCTACAGTGCCTTGCACTCCCAGTGAGGCTGGGATTTCTCCCAACAGAATAGCTCTTATTTAGGAACTCAAATGCATGGCCTCCTTCAGTTAAAATACTCATCTTTTGGGGAAATTTCATGCTAATTACTGATACCAATTCTCATGCAACATTACTTTCTGGTTCCCTAAGCCTTACCACTTAAAATATTATCCAATGGTTTTTATTGTTCAAAAATGTAATGATATAATGTTTATTTCATACTGATTTTGATTATGTGATATGAACATTAGTCTGTCGGGGAATATGTGTAAATGAGCAAGCTCCTTTCAAAGGAATCTGAGTTGCATATAGCTACATTCCAGAATTTACTGGTGTTTAACATACAGGGCACTACAGTATTTGAAAATGTTTTGTGTTTGTACTGATGTGTTTTAGGGGCTGGAAAGTACTTAGCTGTGGCATCCTGTGACAACTTTGTAGATATTTACAACGTAATGAGCAGTAAACGAGTCGGAATCTGCAAGGGAGCCTCCAGCTACATCACGCACATGGACTGGGACATAAGAGGCAAGTGGCTTTTGCTCTAAAAATGTGCTGGAAGATTGATTGCATTATAGACTAAATCCAGTACATCTAGTGTGAATTTGTGGTATCACTGACAGAATTGGTTCTTCAGTTTATGCATAAGCTCACAGCATCTGAATAAATATTAAACCCATGATTTTTACTACTACTTATGTAGTTAGAAGTTGCATAATTTGAAGCAGAATTTGTCTCTATAGATTGGTTTGTTTGGGTTTCCTTTAAAATCTTTCCTGTTTATTGTTTGACTTCACAAGTGCATGTAGTGATAGGACAAGGGGGAATGGCTTTAAGCTGAAGGAGGGTAGGTTTAGATTAGATATTAGGAAGAAATTCTTTTCTATAAGAGCACTGGAACCAGCTGCCCAGAGAGGTGGTGGATGCTCCATCCCTGAAGCTGGTCAAGGCCAGGCTGGGTGGGGTTCTGAGCAACCTGTCCTAGTGTCAGGGGAGTTGGAACTAGATGATCTCTAAGGTCCCCTCCAACCCCAAAACAGTCTATGATTCTGTGGTTCTATTTCTTGAGTAATATACTGTATAATGCAGTTGTATCTGTAGCTCAGGCATATGTATTCTTGTTGTCAAACAAGGAGAAAGTCTGGACTTCCTGTCTTCCTGGGTCTTAACATGTGACTAATTTAAATACTAAATTAAGTCCTGTTTCATTCATAAAACAAGGTGTGCAGTTGTACAATCCAGTTGTTCCTGGTCTTACTCCTCTACATAATCACTTTTGAAACAGTCTGATTTAATTTGGAAGAGTGTTGTGAGTTAGCTTCCTCTGAGAAGTTTGGACAGAGGAAGAGGACAGAAACACTGGTGAGATTTATCCTGAGAAGTGAAGTAGTAGAAAGGCAAGTGTCACTTGCTTGGAAGCAGCCATTGGCCAGGCAGCATATGTGCTTCTCCATCCCAAGAGCACAGACATCATCAGCCAGTTACCATAAGCTTTGAATTCGACCTAGTACATTTTGTCTGCCATCTGACAACAACCATAAAAAGGAGAGAAAAGTGATGCAGTATTTCAGGTTTTTAAGAGAGGAGAAAGAGTTGTGAATTTAAGGGATCTAAGGACTTAGATCTTTAGAACACCAGACTTCCAGATCCACTGGTTACGTATGCAACTTTTTCCAATGGAAACAATTTGTGTAATGTTGCTAGCAACAAAAATTTCAAAATAACCTTTTTTTTTCTTGTGTAAAATGGAATCTTCTATTTAATGTTAACATACAGTATGCAATATCTTTTATAGGGAAACTCTTGCAAGTCAACACTGGTGCTAAAGAGCAGTTGTTTTTTGAAGCTCCTCGTGGGAAAAAACAGACAATTCCTAGTTTGGAGGTGAGGAACTGTACTGCCTTCTTCACTTGTTTGCAAATTACAGCCACCTATACCACATAAGAGGGAATGATGTGTAAAACTATAATTTTTAACTGGTCTGTTGAAAAAGCTTCTGGTTTGGCATTTGCTGACCTTTATTCCTTTTCTCAGCCTGTGCAGTTAGATAATGTAATCAGAATAACAAAATGCATAGGGGATATCATATTTGTCTCTTCTGTTAAGAAACAGACATTTGGCTGAATGAGTCATGAAAATCTCACTGGACTTCTGTGTGCTGCTTCTGATACCGAAACACCTTTGAAAATTGATTGCAGATTGCTTAGCCCTAAGCTTGCTGTGGAAAACCTCGTGTCTGTCTTTACATAACAATGCAATACAGAATGCATAATACACACAGGCAAGGGTAGTATATTGTAGCTATGTTTGTTTTTGTCAGACATAGACCATTGTCATAGGGCAGAGAGTAAAAGTTTGTAATCATGTTTTCCATGAGATTGTAACACAGTGTTTTTCTACATGGCAACACTAAAAATATATTTTTGTTTATTATTATTATTATTATTATT